CTGCTATTTATTGAAATAAAAAGCACATCACATACAGTCTACCATTTTAACCATTTTTAAATTGTATAATTCAATGCCTTTTCATATGTGAACAATGTTGTACAGCCATCACCACCACCCAGCTCCAGAACATTTTCATGATCCTAAAAGGAAACTTCATTCTCATTAAACAATCTCTCCCCATTTCCCACCTCTCAGCCCCCAGCAATCCCTGATTCCACCTTTCGTCTCGATGTATTGGCCCATTCTGGAAATTCCTTATACATAGAACCGCACAGTATGTGATCTTTGGAGTCTGGGTTCTCTCACTGGGCGTAATATTTTTAAGGTTTGCCTTCATTGGAGCATGTGTCAGGGCTTCACTCCTTTTCGGGGCTGAATACTATTCTATTGTATGGATGGACCACGTTGTATTTGGCCACTTACCCACGGATGGGCATTCGGGCTGTTTCCACGTTTTGGCTATTAATGAATCATGCTGCTATGAACATTTAGCATATCTAGAAGAAAATAATTCTATGTGTCATATGGAACCAGAGAAGACCCTGTATAGCAAAAGCAATCTTAAGCAAAAAAACCAAATTGGGGGCATCAATTTACCAGACTTCAAGCCATACTACAAGTTTATGTTTGAATACATATTTTCAGTTCTCTTGGGTTTATACCAAAAAGTGGAACAGTAATATTTTTCTTAGCTCTTCATAGTTGGCCCCTTCTCACGTAATTCTTACAGACTGATTATTTGAATCTACTATCTGCTTAAGGCATGCTAATGTGAGAGGGTCTTGTTTGAATGTGTAATGAATACCTTTGTCCGAGCAGGAAAATGCCACTTCCTGAGGTTATTAATTCAAGTAATCCTCCCGCCTTGGCCTCCCAGAGTGCTAGGACTACAAGCATGAGCCACCTCACCCGGCTAATTTTTAAAATTTTTGCTCAATATAACAACTATTTTATTTACTTCTTGATTTTCGTGTTATGCCTAGATATTGCTTCTGACCTGGGCTGGCTTGGCTGTTCTCTTCCATGTGTTTGTGGTCAACACTGGTCGGCTGGTTGAATGACCTAACAGGGCCTCACTCACACACCTGGTGGTCGGCAGGTTGGCAATCAGAGAGACACATTGGTCCACATGGTCTCTTTTTCCCCAGATGTTAGCACTTTCTTTGCGTCCTTTAATTATTGTTTTGTTGGCCAAAGCCAGTCACATGGCCAAGCTTTGAGTCAGTGTGGAAGAGAGACCACACTCAAAGATGGGGAATTCTCGCATTCATTTATGCAAACAATCTATCATGTGCAGAACTGGGTGGTGAGCTCACAGAATGCTCAGACTTTCAGGGACTTCTCTTTGGTTCAGGCATTTCAGTTTTACATTCAGACAATTTTTTTCAGCATATTATGGGGGTAAAAATTTTAAGGTTTCAAATAATGCCCTTTCCCCCAACTCACACAAGTCTGAGCTTCCAGCGTGACCATCCCCCAGACGGTGCACATCTCACTCATTATGTATGTGTACACCCACCGCCTTGCCCCCTCCCACCTGCCCAATACCCAATTACTGTAGTTCCTATGTGTCCACTTAGGTGCTGCTCAGTTAATACCAGTTTGCTGGTGAGTATATGTGGCGCTTGTTTTTCCATTCTTGGGATACTTCACTTAGTGG